CTATGATTGGAAGAGTTTTCAATGAATTAAATATCGGATTTTCATCACCAGCTTCTGACGTTTGCAGTACATGCAATAAAATAGATCTTCAGCTGAAAATTGAGAAGGCTAAAGCTGTGAAAGACTTGGTAGTGGTCAACCAATTTATGATGGAGAAAAGAATACACAGATTAAGAGCTAATGCTTTTTATGGGCTCTTAACGGAAAACAAAGAAAATGAAGTTACTTTCTGTTTTGATCTCCAGCAAATTCAAGCACTTCCCAAAACTCCTATTCAAGACGCGTTCTACAAAATACAATTAAGTTTTTACTCTTTTTGCATTGTAGCATCAAACGCACAAAACCCCATATTTTACGTATGGACTGAAGAACTTGCAGGAAGGGGTGCTACCGAAGTTGCATCTGCACTTATAAATTTCTTGAACTCCGCTAATTTTTCAAATATAACAAGACCGAATCTGTTCTGTGATGGGTGTGCCGGTCAAAACAAAAACAATGCCGTTGTTCACACATTAGTGTATTACTTAGGATCAGTGCAAAATGCTTTAGAGGAGATTGTTCTAACATACCCTGTTCGCGGGCATAGCTTCCTCCCCGCTGATCGGGTGTTCGGAAGGGTTGAAAAGTTACTCAGGAAGCAGCCTACCATTGCAACAAAGGAAGAGTACTACAATGTATATAGTTCTGTTGGAGAAGTACGGAAACTTGGAGAGGATTGGGGATTGATTGATGCTAAAAGTTTGGCTACACGATTTAAAAACATTGAAATGATATCTGAAAAGATGAGGATTTTTGTGAGGAAAGAGAAAGCTGTCAACCGCAATGGACAAGAACTTACTGTTATCAAAGTGAAATCGGCACAGAATTTTAGGTTTGAAAGTGATTTTGAAACCTACAACAAGCCTCAAAAAAAAGGCTGGCATTCTGCAAGGTCGTTCTCAACTCCTGTAGAGTCACTTCCACTGAGCAATATAGTGAAAGCAGCTAAGAAGAAGGACGTGGAGACGTTAGTGAAAATGTATGGTGATGACTGGCAGAAACATGACTTTTTATCTTGGTATAAGACGTATAAGACCATAATAGTGGAAGTCCAAGACGACGAAATTGATGCTGACGAAGTGGACGAATCCTGTGATTGTCTAGAACCTGACATTGGACTACACATTTAAACATTTATATTTTGTGGAAAATGTCGTTGGTAAATGTTAGCCATTTTTCAAGATATTTTTTGTAACAATACAATAGATATTTTACGTAGTCTAAGAATTTTTTTATCAAACCCTTCTATCAACGTCCATGAAGTCCAATCAAATAAGAACATGTCCTTTTTTTAAAATGTATTTACAGGTTTATTTATACCTTCAGATTTGAAATATTTACTAAGAGTCAGTTAATTTCAATAAATAAAATGATATATGTTAATTTAGCCGATTTTTCATGTAAGGTTATTTACTAATACGTTTTTTACGATTTCCCTAAAACTTCTTAAGGTGGACATGATTGATTTTGATTGACACCTCCTCAATTGTTCAGGAGAGAGTAAAAACTGGTTAATTTAAAATATACAGTCCGTCCCAAACCCTTGTTTCAGTGCGTCATGGTTGATCGAATTCTCTCTAACGCATTAAGCTAGAAGTGACAGAAAAAAACGTGAGTCTGTGATTATTATACATAGAACTTAGAAAATTATGTATCGTTCACGGTTATTTGCATATTAAAGCGAATTCTACTTACGGATGTATAATTGGTTGAGTAAAATGTAAATTAGTGACGCACTGAAAGAAGGGTTTGGGACGGACTGTATGTATTTTTCCTTATTTCTCTAAATACTACGCTTTAGTATACTGCCGTGATAACGAAAACCGCCTTAACTGCATTTTTTTTGTAAAACCGGGATTTTGGTACCATAGATTAAGGAAGCAATTTTGCACATAAAACGTTAAGAAAATACACCTTATCATCATTTAGTTTTAAAACTAAGCCTTAAAATAACTTAACTTTAACTGTAAACTTGCCATTTTGTGATACTAGACTCCCCTATCTACTATTATTATAATAAAACACCTGAAGCATATAGAGCATCTGAAGCTATATAAATTTGATATTAACTTTTTTGCTCTTCAAGTTAGCTCTATTTGTTTTAAAAAATATTAAAGATACATTACTTTTACAAAGAAAATGTATACTTGTTAGTAACCTTAAAATTCAACCGTTTTCGAGATAATCGCATTTTATAAGTCAGCTGCATAATAATTAGCCAGCTGTAGATAAGCACAATCCATAGTTTATTCTTATCAAAACAACTCAAAGATGATAATGTAACATCACAAAATGTTTTGTTATGACTGCTAAATGTCTTATTGCAGAAAATATTCTTCATCTTCTTCTATAGGTGCCGTGTACGTATTTAGATGTTGGCCGTCATCATGTTTAAAATTTCCCTTTTCTTTTGCTTCTTAAGTTTCTATACTGGCGTTGTATTTCTTTTTCTCTATTGTAAAATGCTGAAAACCCAAAATATATGGTTTATGCAAGATGTTACAACACCACATTCTATTCTCACCATATTCCTTGGCAATGTGGTGAGATATTGATATAAGTACCTATTTAATTCATAAAAAATCCAATAGAATATTTATTATTAATTACGTAGATTGTTTACCCATTTTTAATAGGACAATTAGAAACTAGAGAAGAGGTATTGAATAACACATACATATGTGTCTTGTTTCATAATACTTCTGCTACAAATCCAACCTAAAGACTCAACATTTTTACAAAATATTGTTATAAATATAGTAAACACACTGGCAATTTAGTTGAGCATAATGTTAGTTCGTTATTAAATCATAATAGTCCATTTGTTCGAGATGTAATTATAGTTGCTCTTAAGCTGTAACGTAATCATATAAATAAGTAATGTCATCGATAGGTTATTCTGTGTATATATAAGTAACCAATGAACGAGATACATCACAGTTTAATACATTATTTAACCCTTGCGACAAATAAGATGTAGTTCCATAATATACCATAAGATTTGGATATGTATCCAAAAGAATATATTCATCCATTATACATTATAGCCACCACGTAGCCCAGAATTAAATCCGCTTGATTTTGGTGTATGGGGCGCAGTAAAACAACATCTATTTACATTTTTTATAAAATGATTTTATTGATTTATTGGAAGAATTGTTATTAAACTTAAGGCGAAATATGTGGTTTATGCAAGATGGTACACCACCACATTACAGATAGAGGGCAGTGAGAACATAATTAAATACAACTTTCCTGAACATTGGATTGTTCGTGATAGTCATATTTCTTGGTCATGTGATGAGATATTAATATAATTATTTAATTCATAAAAATTCCAAACGAATACTTTATTATTATATTATATTTATTATATATTATACTTATAATACTTATTATAAATACTGCAGCAGTTTCTTTAGAACCAATGATGCTATTAAATATGAAACGATCTTTTATGAAATGTATTGACAAATTATTAATTAAAGAAAATGGTTGAACACATGGAACACTTACTTTGACAAAAAGTTTAATGTTATTTAGTTTAACTATTTCTTAATTTGGTTTATAAATAAATTATTTTGATTATGACTTGAATTTAATACAAAACATAAAATGTTTGATGTAAAATCCCATTAAATCGAGCATTTTTTTAATAAATTTATAATTTTTTTCTACATTCAGCATTTCCTTAAATTTTATCAGGCATGATTTTTTCTCATGATCAAGTAATAATATAAGTAATAAAACCCATTTAAAAGGTGAGCCATTATTTTTAAAATCCTAAGTTTTTTTTGAAAATAAAAAATACTATGGGGTTTGCCAATTATTCACAATTTTTTTTTAGATTGTAATAATGGAAATTGAATGTAACAATTGAATTGCTATTTATTATAAGAATATATATTTTGTCCATTTTTATATATATTTTTATCTATATTTTATAAATATTTTATATATATTTTATCTATATTTTTATTTATATAATGTGGTAAATTAAAGAAAACCATATAGATAATTTTCATTTTAAATATATTTTCTACAAAGAAAAAATAATTTGAAAGATCAGAAATAGATTTTTACAGTTTTACCAAAGAATATAGAGGCTTAAGCGTCTATATTCTTTGGTTTTACTGAGAAAGAATTTAACCATTCTTTAAAATCACTTACTTCTCTTTACTGAAATCAAATACAATAATTTATATTCTAGAATTAATTCTCATGTCTATAGAGCTTTATTGGAATTGTTTAAAGAACTTTGATGTGCACTATTTAATGCCTATTTTAAATTTTCAATTTTGTCCATTTTCTTAATACAAACGAGGTATATTTCTTTTATTTATATGAAAGGCTTAATTTTTTTCATTTATGAATTGTATTTATAAAAAGGTCAAGCCAATTAGACTTAATAGATTTACCTATATAGTCTTGGAATTGCCATAAGAATTTTTAATTAATCTTTTCTAAAAATAGATCCACGAATGTTTTAATAATTTAACATTACATCATTTTATTATAAAAATAGGTCCATTAAGAGAAAAATTATTCTGGACTGTTAAACACATGTTTTTGATTAAATTTCAAGAACTAAGACATAAAAAGTTAATCTAGATCAAGGTTTTGGAATTCTAATTATTCATTTAAAATATTACAACAATAATAGAGCAACAATTATGCAATTAAACATTTGAACCTTAACGACAACCATTGTGTACGGTGTACCTATTATTTTTTCCTAGATAGACAGGATGCCCTAAAAAGAAGGGTGTGCGCTCAATTGCCGGAACGCCCCTTCTTTAATTTAAATTCGTAGTGTAAATTTAGGAAGGTATCGATAATTTAACGACCAATTAGCCTGTTCATGTAATTAAGTTAAACAACCGAAAAAACATTTAACAATTACAGTAGAGGTTAGAATAAGTAACAAATTATTTTTAAAAATAAAAATTAAGAAAACAAACCTGTTTTGTTCTATTTACAAATATTTTGCCTTACACAACACTTTAATCGAAACTATCACTCACTTTTTATACAATCCACTTCCACTTTCCACAAAACAAGATTGTGATTTCTAGTAAATAAAAAATCAAAGTCAGCAAATTGGATACTGGATTTGATATCAACAAACGGCGCAAGACAGTTGTAATAAACAACGCGCAGCACTCGAATGCGAGGGATTCGTCTGATAGGCCTTACCAACGACAGCTGGGTTTAAAATTAATTATTATTATATGACTAAATAGATGGATGATGGTAGGGTGACTCATTGGACCATAAATTCGAAGAATTAAAGATTTTAAGATATTTAACCAGAAGATAGGCAACCAATACATCACTTAATTTGATACATTTGAACAAACTAAATCTTCACCGATTCGAGATAGTGCAGCCAAAACAAATAAATAGGCCTTGTACAGGGATACGAATAATTTTAACATGGTTGAAGGGTTCTGACCGCTCCACCCTCTTCAGGGGTGTACTCTGACACGATTAATATGTTTTTTTAACATAACACTTGAAACTACGTCAAATTTTTAGCTTAAGTATATAGGTACTAGGAAAGGCAAAGAATTTTTTAGGATGGGTTTTTGGCAGTTTTGAAAATGTTTAAAGTTTTAATTATAATGTTGAATTTATTGTTATTTTAAAAATGTCACATAATGTGACATTTAGTTGATTAAACCTTTTAATTGTATGAAAATTATAGATTTTTGATTGTGATTGAGTTTTTACACTTTCAGATTAGAAATGAAAGATTAATTTAAATAATTCATTAATAAAATAATAATAAACAAGGTATTTATTAATATATATCAAAGAAAATTAAATGATATTAGAAATAGGGATTTGTTTGTAAATGAAAAATATTTAATGAGCGACATTTATGTGACAGAACCCTTACAATATAAAAGAAAAATAAGTGAAAAAAAAAGAGGTCATTCAGGTTGTCAGAAAAATATGGTAAAAAAATAATAAACATTAATATAAAGTATAAAGAGCGTCTATATTATCCATTTTAAAAGTTAACAAAATTTGTAAGAGTGTGTGAAATAAATAAAATGTGGTTTGGGCATTTAAAAATATTAATTATTCCTAAGCAAGTTTCTAAAGTTATATAGATATTTATCAAAGCTAAACCAAAAATTCAGCCAATACTACTAAGTGATCTCAAATATTTCAATTTCAGAAGAATAAATCAAAATGGCTGCCTAAATTTATATCAGTACTTACTTTATGTGGTTAGTTTCCTTGATGTTGATCATCAATCAGCCAATTGCGTCCACTGCTGGACATAGGTACCCCCTCAATTCCTTCCAGTGTTCACTTCACTGGGCTACTTTGTCCATCTAGTCGGTGGTTGTCCTGGGATTCTTTTATATAAATTCTGGGATGTCCTGGTGTGGTCGTCCTGGGATTCTTTTATTATAGTTTCTGGGCCTCCATTCCATGATTCGTCATTCCATGATACGTAAGCTTAGTAGTTCTTTCAATGACGTCGTGAACTCCTGATCTTTACCTGATTTGTTTGGTTTGTTATGTGGTCTCGAAGGCATTGCACGTTCCATGGCTCGTTTGTGTAACTCTGAGGTTTATTCGCAAATTTTTATGTCAGTGTTGATGCTGATAAGTTGTTGTAAAAAATACAATCAGTATTTTTACTCCGATGAGGAATAACTGCATATGTCACTCTCACTATTAGGACCAACTTCTATAATTACTGGTTCCACTATAACCTCCATAATATTATCCAGCTCCCAGAACTTTTTTTCCACTATATTTCTTAACGTGATCCACACAATTTTTTCCATTTTTCTGGGGTGATGTTGTTAACAGCTTCATCAAAAAGGTTTTTTTACATCTGCGAACTTGAAAGTTTTGTTATTAGCAGCAACAAAATTTTTAGCGTCAGCCCATATGAGCTCAATTGGATTGAGCTCACAATGGTATGGTGGTAAACGTAACACGGTTTTATTTTGTGTCTCTCTTGCCATTTCGTCTACGACACATTTATTGAACTTTGCCTTAAGGGGGCCACTAATTGTAAAAGTTCCACTTTTAAACATATCATCATCGAAATAAATGTCTTTTGACTGTAGCCATTGTTTTATTTTTTGTTTTATTCCATGATGTTGTGGGTATCTTTTCAATTTTCCGGGAATGATAAGAGGCATTATCAAGAACTATCACACAATTATCTTCTAACCGAGGCAATGTACTTGCAAACCACCTTTCGAAGCTCTCAGCGGTTCATCTCTTCATGATAAATCGCCGCTCTTTTTTGAGTCAAACATCCATAAACAAATCTTCTACAAATCCTGTTTCACTCCCTATGTGGGTAATAATAAGTCTTTTTCCCTTGCCCGATGGATTTTTAAGACCTGTGAAAAACCAGACAAAAATGCCTGCATGGAAGATTTCACCGTTTCGGTCAACGCCAAACATGGGATTTTTGAGTGTCCTGAATTTACCCATGTTTTCGTCTAAATAGTAAATTTTTCTATTTTGTTCCCGAAATTTTTTTATGGATTTTAAGAAATTTCGTCTCCACAAGATGATGTCGTCTCGATCTAACAAAGCACTATTTCTGCCCCTCCGTACGTATTTAAAATCAAGTGATTTGAGGAGTTTATAAAATGTAGTGCTTTTAAAATTCGGCAAGCTTTCGTCGCTCAATTAACAACTGAAAGAACTTTGTGTAATAGTAGGTATTTCGTTTTTAAAAAAAAATTGATGCACAATTCGTCGTATGGCCGATTTATCGGCATCATCAATTTTGTCCAAATATAGTTTTTCTCCTGGGCTTAGTCTTTTTCGGGGAAGAAAATGTTCCGGTATTCTTCTGCTCTTTAAGAATTCTGTACACAGAAGCTTCACCTACGCCACAAGAAATAGCCTGTCTGTTTCACTATTTCCGATACCAAAGCTTCTGGATGCGATTCTATTGTCGATGTATAAACATTATAAATAACACTTTTTTCAGTACTAACTAAAAGGACGCATTTTTGATCGCTTTATTTTTGGTGTAACTTCCTCCGCAGAATCGGTAGAACTGGACATTTAACTTAAAAAATTAGAACGCACAAACTTGTGACTTAATAAAACTAAAAAACTACTATTTTAAATTAAAAATTAGAACGCACAACTTTGAAAAGTCTTAATAAAATCTAAAAAACTACCACATAAACTTTAAATTAGCAAACAAATAATTATTATAAACACAAATAGTTCATTTTTAGATCGAGATACGAGAAATAAACGTTAACGCGAAACTACTCGACTGATACTGAATAGGGATGCGCGATGTTCATTGTTAAATGAAGACATTGACCACCAACGATCTTAAGTTTTAGGAAATACCATAAAATTATTAATCTATAAAAATTCACAGAATACACATAAGAAATATTCAAATTAAAAATACTTTTATTATGGTTAAGATATTGCCCTGTTGTTAAAAGATTATAGTTTATTATTATACCTGCAAACCTTTTAAGGTAGGTATTAACTTTAATGTATATTCAAATTCGCTAAGACTGGCCGGAACATCTTGTTTAGATTAATTTCTATAGTATAGCATACTAAGAATTTCAAAAATAATCATTTTCCCTATCTTTTTGAAAGCCGTTTTTAAACAATACAAAATTGGGAAGTATTAAAGAATTACAAACGTATTAAAAATGATATTCAAACTTATTCATAGTAAACAGAAATACAAGAAAAATTGCGTTATCGAATTTATTTTTAGGTAAAGTGCATTTTGATATTTTTTTTAAATCAGACACTAACGTAGACAGAACATCACCGAAAACAAGTCCAGTCCTGAAACAATAGACCACGCCTACTTGTTTTACCGCTGGCTATCACGACTGAACGTAAGGACTTTTAGTTCCGAATTTTGTATGAATACGGATATAGAAGAAATATAATGAAAATATCAAGAACATTAACAAAAGGATACAACAAAAGGATTAAAACAAAAGGATACGTATCCACAAAGGTGGACATAAAGAATATTATTCAGAAGCTGTGCCAGGTAACAAAGCGAATGCATGGCAAGATGCAGTCCTATAAAGAAAAATCCAGTGGAAAAAAGAAATGGGGATGCAACGAATGAAGGAGATATCGTAAAAGATAGAGACTTAAAAAAGAAGTAAGATTGAGAGAGAAATTATTGCCATCCTAGAAAAAGGGATGACAAAGGAGGAGTTTATAAAATATGCAGGAGAAGAATGGTCTGAAATAGGATTCAGAATAACTCAAATCGTCGAAAGAACATAAATAGCGCCAACATGGGACAAAGATCTAATAATAACCATGCAATAAACTTGGCTGAAGCCATAAAAGAAGTTAAAGTAAGAGAAAACAAAGATCAGAACTTTTTCTGCATAATTGGACAAGATGAAGATATGGCTTGACGTAATTACAGAAAAGCCCTAGAATGTTATCTACAGGATTTGGGGGTGTGCGTTTCTATGGTGCTAATAAATCTAAAACGAAAGACAGAATGGGGAAACATCTTAATAAAATGCGGAGAAAAAACATACAAATAGAACAAAAAGTAAGAAATAAGGTAGAGGTTACAAATAGCGGGATAAACATTAAAACTCTAAAATAAACGGCGAAGGAGGCCTTAAAATGGAACTAAGAGGAGAAAGAAATAAAATAAAAGACCTAAGTAAAGAGATAGCGAGCAAAACGGACTGAAAGTTGATTCCAGACTTTCGGACAATACTTTGATCATTCATGACGTACATGAAACTATGAATGAAGAAGAGGTGAATGGAGCATCAAAAGAATACTTGGTGCGGAAAAAAATGAGAGACCATAATAATTCTTTAGAGAAAGGCGGGATACAGCGGGGGTCAAAGGTAATAGTAACGGCCAACGCGAAAGCAGCCCAAACACTAATAAGCAAGGAATGGGCCAAAATAGTATGCAAAATCGTGGCCTCCAAATACAGGCCAAAGAGTTGTTATGCATGCCTGCATTTTGGGCACACAAGAAACACATGCAAGGAAAAAAAGGGGGAGACAAGTGCCTTAAACCTTAGAAAGAAGGCCACGACGCGAAAAATTACTCAAGTACATCTTACTGTGGCATATGTAACAGCGAACATAGAACGGACACAAACGACTATACGGAGCACAGGAAATTTTTTAACGAAAATGAAGTAGTCACAGCTCAAAGCGGGAGGAGTGGGGGTAACTAACCATAAAATCAATCACCACAATAAAATACGTTTTTACGACCTCGGAATGTTCGTCCTGG